GATCCCTAGTACCCCTACGACAACACCACTTCTCCAACGCGGCCGACGGATTCGCCGCTAAGCTGGCACCAAAATACGATGGACCCTAACGAGTCAAAGGTTTTGCATCACCAAACATTGTACAACTACAGCATCCGGGCAGCCGAAAATCGAAGATAGCTAACATCAATGACTTGAAGGATTTCCACGAAGACAGGGATGCAACCGACGGGGAAAGCACTACCACTAGCCCCCCGTAATCTCCCTAGCTACGACTTTGTTTCCGTACATTGGTAGCTGACCAGCCAAAGTCAACGAATTTACAGACGCAGCGCAAGTCAAAAGACGCCGACCGAAGAAAGACGAGAGCGTAGCACGCGCGCAGCCAATGCCATGCAATCACCCCACGCAGCAAATTACAACCAATAACATGGAAAAGTGCCGATCAACCCGGAAAGCGAAACACGAGCCCGGCTAAGAGCAATGGCCCACACATAACAGCACTGGCCCTATCCAGAAAGGGAAGGACCTGAGTTCTCCCTCTACTAAATCAGTTCGATTTGCAATTAGATCGGAAAACGATTCTACAGTTACCCAACGCCAATTCCACGCCCCGCCGAAATACCACCAACACCTACCAGAACAGCAGCTAGCCATCATTCTACCAACACCAACGAATATCCCTCAACAAGCCGCAGCCAATACAATATGGACACCACCTGGATTTTTATCACCCTGATCACTTCGGCACAGGCGCTCGTCAAACTACATTACTATTCAAATGCCGACTACATCCCCATAGTGGATGGAGATGCCGTCATCTGGGATAGCTACGGATACCTACGCCACACGACAAACGTAACCTCTTACGAAGAATATGTGGTCCAAACAGAACAGGGCGCCGAACTATTCGCCGTCAATCGGATGACCGAAGTAATTACTACCGATTTAGGCCACATCCGCAACTTAATCGCTACGCTGAAAATCCACCATCGAGAAAGTCGGAGCATCAACATCCTCGGGACGGCCCTTAACGTCTTCGCCGACACACCCGATTTCAACTGGTGGAAGCAGAGGCCAACCAGATGGAAATCAATACCAAGATCCAGGACCGTCTAAATGAGCTGACTATGAACACTATAAACAAATCCGACGACGCCGAGAGAAAGCAACTGGTGGAGATAATTCTGGCTAAGAACAGGATTATTATCACCGATCTGGAAAACCTCATCCTCGGACTAACTCTAGCACGGATCCATATAATCAGTCCCAACCCTACTAGACGGCGCCGACATCGAAGAATTCGAGGCACAGCATCTAACCAACATCAGCTTGGTGGAACCTTTAGGAGTCTCAAAAGTGAGCGTCTTCCAGAGCTTCCTGATAAAGTTCCCCCAACCCAAACGAACGTGCCGAAAGCTACTTATATTTCCAGTACAACACCACTGGAAAATACTGGATTTCGGCGAGGGAAACATCGTAGCAGAATGTGGAACAGAAGCCGTCAAAGTTGGCGACTGCGAAGCCACCGTCGGCGCCACATTCTACAGCAGATGGTTGCAGGGTCTGTCGCACATTGCGCACCGCTGCCAGAGCATCTAGAGGCAATCCGCCCCGTGGATCATAGAACCATCATCGTTAACGACGCCTAAATAATCATTCTGGAGGCGAACGGCGCTCAACAGAACATCTGGGACCTATCTGGTGACGTATCCCCACCGGATCGCGCTAAATGGGACCTGGTATGTAAACCATCTATGGGACTTGAGACGAAAAGCCGTGGTGTCCGCGATGACACAGGTGAATGTGACGTCACATCGAAAGCAACTGAGTCTACCCTTCTTGAGGGGACTCAGCCTGAAGAATCTTAAACACATCGGCCACCTACAAGAAGTGCTAACGGTGAGGAGCGCCACCGCATATATTCTCACGGTAAGCATCGCACTACCACTCTGCGTAATCATTTGGGTCCTACGTCGCCGACTGGGAACCCAGGCCACCACCGCCAGCGCCGGGGAAGACGAGGAGGAGCCCAGGTAGAAGAACCGTACGCCCGCCGCGTCTGCAAAAGGGGGTGTAACGAACCATACATCCCATGGTTCGTCACAAGCAGTCAGAGCCACCAACGATACACCAAGAAGAATATATCAACACCAACAAATCCGAAGACGCATCACAGATCAAAACACAGAAAGACATCGACCGAATAAAAAAATAAAACCGAGAACTCAGCACAAACGCGGCCAATCGACAGAAAGGCACTGGCCAATATTATATAACCAACCTCCATATAACCAACAGCAAAACCAACTAACCAAAGCTCTCAAATGACGAGGTCAACACCCAACGAAATGAAAACTCAGCACACGCAACAGACAGGAAACCTGAAGACTCAGCATGGTACGTATCAAATCATACCTAGCAGCGCTGGCCCTACTATTAAGAATAGGAGAACACTATATACATCGGAGATCTCCCTGTACTAAGGCAGTTTGTTTGGAAGGTCTTTTGCAGTTTGCTTGCAGTTCGCTAGGAGTAAGTTGGCAGTTAGCTAGCATTTTACTTGGATTCACACGCTTCACACACATTAAATAATGATAAAAATTAAAACTTCAACTTAAACCAAACGTGTTGTGATTCCAAATAACCAATTCTATTTCAGTTGCTGGCCGAGTCTCTGGTTTTCCAAATAAAGTTCTGCGAATTAAAAATAACTTGTAATTCAGGACCCTGGACAGACTGTCGGGGGGTTCAAGCTCTGGACCTAGAACAGCTGAGATAAGCTTGAGCCAGTGCAGTGCAGCGCATCAAAGAGAAGCTTTCGCCCTCTCCGTTTAGATCTTTAGATAGTATTTAAACATCTCAAAAGGCCAGGTCGTTCTCTTTTGAAAATTCTATGCTGTGTGGTTTCCCAGCTTCAAATTCCCCAACAAATTCCTCGAATAATAGCCAGTGGCGCAAAATAACGTAATTTCACCTTTGTTTGCTATTTGCATTGCCCACTACATATTAATATTGTATCCGCTTATAATTACTCAATCTAATAGCCTATGCAACCGTTCTTTCGTCTCTTCGACTCGTACCTTTCTCCTTTACTTTACTATCTCGCTATATCACTCTCTCGATCTATCAGCTCTCTCGTTCTCTCGAACACTCCCTCGCTCTCTATTTCGTAGCATCGCGTAGGGCACGGGCAATTCGGTCCGTCTGCCCTAACATGCCTTCGCAATGGTCATGATCTGGTCCAGCACTTGCATGCCTTTGCAATCTCTCGAACTTTTCTGCCGTCGCATATATACATACGCATATATTCGGTCAATAGGTGACACACGAATAGCGGGCTATATATGCATCTCGTTTACAGCTTTCTTTCGCTATCGTTCTCTTCATCTATGCTGCTCTCTCGCATTCTTTCTCTCTATCTATTGCTCGTACTCGGGTCTGCAGCAGCCCGAGCTTCTATCGCTTATTTTGCTCTCTCTCTCGCTTGCATTAGGGCACGGGCAATTCGGCCCGCCTGCCCTTTCACATTCTGTTATTGATCATCAGAACCGTCGGTCTTTATACCTTTAGCAATACGCGTACTGCCGCTACTAAACATTAATAAATTGATATTATAATAAACCTTCTCGGCTCTTTTATTAAAATTAGGCCCTAAAACAGTAGCTATTAAAAACGCTTAATAGCTTAACACTGTGAATACGTTCGAGAGTTCAAAATGTTCGAAAAAAAACGCTATTATATATTTTCCACGTGTCCGAAAAAGTACAGTTACATAACTGTCCGAAGTAAATGAGAAAATTTTACAAAATTTAAATCCTGTGCTGTGTTGTGCTGTGCTGTGCGTGAAGCTTACAAACAAGCAAAAATAAAAAGTGCCGAGGGTTCGGAGAAAACTCCCTTGGCCTTGCGGCCGCCACGCTGCTGCCACTCCTACCGCCCTGCCTCACACCACGTTGGTGGAAAAGACCCGACCAACGATCCTCCCAAGTTCGAAAACAGACAAGAACAAGACAAGAACAAACAAGGCGTCCTACCAGGCCGGTGTGGGCCACTTATACTTTCACCCCGATTGGAAACGACAGAATTTTCCCGGCGTGGTTACATAACCTGCACCGGCCGTAACCTCTGCGTAACCGCCACGCGTTGCCGTCGCTGCACAGAGCAAGCTGCTGGAAGTAGCCCACCACCCACTTAGCTCAGATGGTGCCGCTTGTGTATTTTTTCTAAATCTTTCTCTACTTATTTTCTTGCCTTTATACCGTTTTTGGTTCCTTCCATTAAACTTAAGTACAGTAAACCCTTTAAAGTACCGCTACCTTTAATTTTCAAAATGAACTGTAATAGGAATATACATAATTAAAGAAAAAATATCATGGAAGAAGAAAAGAAAGGGTTTAAAAATTTGCTAGGTTAAGGTGAAGATAAACGTTACTTTCAATCGTATCAAGATTTCGGGAGATATTGTATTGTAAAGGAATTGTAATTATTGCAAAGAACACGGAAAGGTTCGTGCTGCGCGAAGTTAGATCTGCAGAAGGGTAAACGGATAGGCAGGAAAGTTCGGGTTGGTCTAGAAGGAACTGTAAAATATATCTGACCCAACAGAGTTTAAGAGTCCACAAGCCCAAGAATGAGCTTGTGAATGAATAAGACGGCATTGCAAATTCTGCGATGCTGTAAGGAGGGTAGGTCGAGTAGTTTTAGCCTGGATCGGTATGGAGGCAACCGTCTGCCAGTGTCCCAGTTCAGATTCCTAATGGCAAAATTAAAAATAGTTTTTGAACAGATTTAATTTGAATTTGTTGCTCTTTGTATTGAGGGCTCCATACACAAGAACAGTACTCCAATATCGGGCGTACCAATGAGACGTACAGTGATTTTGTTGGAAAATATTGGGAAAGATAAAGGTTATAACATTGACTTTTGATAGTAAGAAATTTAGAGCGAACAGACGAGTATTGAGCAAAGTCAGATAAAGAACCAGTTCTCTGGTACTTTTTATATAGCCGGGATTTTTTTTATTTTTTAGGTAGGACAGATACTTGGATAACCAGGGAGGTTTGGAGGATACCTGAACGTTAACTTCAGGAACATAGGTGTTGAGAGCAGAGTTTAACGTGTCATAATCAATTTTAAAGAGATGTAAACTTAAATCGGTGAAATTCGTTTTACGAAAACACTTTATTCGATTAGTTGAAGGTATAATGGAATTAATATTCGAAAGCTCGACAACTAAAAACAAAGTTGTATGGTACGGATCTTCAGAAAAAGACATAGAAATACCTGTGACAACCGTTGCTCGAGAAGTACCGCTGACGAAAGTGAGATCTAACAGTCTAATTCTACTGTTTTTGACGGAATTAATTTGGGCAAAGGAGACATCAATTATACCATCAACAAAATCAAGTTGACTCCCAGGTATCAGCATGTTTGATTCATCCTGCTGCCAAGAAAGAAATGGTATGTTGAAGTCGCCCATTACTATAATATGATCAGCACAACCTGCAGCAGAAACTACAGAATGAATGGCAGAAAGATGGTTAAAATAAACAACAGCATCAGATCTAGGAGGAATGTATGAACAGGTCAAAAAGATAAACGACGCTCCAATACGGATTTTGACTGCTACAAATTCAATTTCATGAGTGTTGTTAAATGTAAACAGCTCGGACGCAAAATCAGTTTTTACTGGAATAAGAACCCCACCATCAAATGATGGTCGATCCATTCTGTAGGTGGTGAACTTGTGGATGAAAATTTCATGATCGGAGACGGAAGAGTTAAGACAGGTTTCAGTTATAGCCATAGCGTCGAATTTAAAAGAGGCGCTATCCGTATACATTTTGGTCAATTTACCCAAAAGACTGCGTACATTCTGATATTGGATGGTGAAATGTTTCCTGTTTTTTTAAATCTGAGGGACAGTGACGCTAGGACTCTGGGAAGAACTTCTTGGGAGAAATTCATGCAAAATTCTGTGCTCAGGCCATGCGGACGGTTCCAGGGCTTTGGATAGAAGAGAATCGGGAAGAAAAATTTTGAAGGATGAAATATTACGCTTATTTTTAAAATTAAATTTAGTTATGACAAAGGCATCAGGCGGTGTGTGGAGATAATGACTAAGATGTAGTTTAACATCTTCCGGTGTGGTTTCTGGGAGGAGGCGAGAGACAAAGATTGCCTTTTGAGGTACTACTGCTCTTAGTTGGAGTCCCGGGGCAGAAACGATGGCAGCAGCTGAGGCAATGGATGGAAGAGGAAAGGTGGCAGGAACAGTGAGGACAGTGAGTCCCGGGGCAGAAATGAAAGCACTTTCAGTAGATACTGGTGGAACAGGAACGGTGGCAGGAACAGTGGGGACGTCATCGGCAAGATGCATACGCACACTGGAAGCACTAACAGCGGTGTCAGCAGTGATGGATACAGTGAGTGGCATAACATTGTTAGTCGGTGTGAGAAACGGATTGATTTCCGGAAAGGCATGACCACTCGGCGAATCCAAGGATGCCGATGTATGTAGGTGAGAAGAAGGCGTTCCGATTCCAATAGGTTGCAAGAAGTTGCTGTTATCGATGTTAGGGATTTTCCGTCTAAGAGATTCACTCAAAAGCTTGAGGCCAAGAAAGTGAGATTCCAAGGTCAGGAATTTCTCGATGAGAGCGACAAATTGCTTCCGGACATCCAGAAACCAGTACGAGTCTGCCTCATAAAAGTGCGCATTTCGGCCTCAATCTCTCGGCAGGCCAAACATGACCAAATCAGACCCATACGTTTTGAGATGAGATCGTGTAGTCGTCCAAAATTACCACCACCAGCACATTTTATATGGGCGACATTGTCGCATAGCCAGCAGCTGAGGAATGAATCGCTTATTATGTTGCCACCAAATTCGCATTTCTTTGCACTGCAGACAACAGCCATTTTTGACAGCAGTTGAATCACTGTGCTCGAAGAAGAACGCAAAGTGGAAGCGCAAGCTATATGAGAGAGGGGGCAGCAGAGCGAGCGACGATCAACAGCAGTGGCAGACGATCCAGCGAGGTGACGAAAACAAACGGTGAAGCTCAAGACAGCAGAGGCACCGAAAGAGTAAGTGAAGAAGAATGCAGGCAAAATCCAGAAAGTGAGAGCAAGAGAGCTTGCACTTGTGCGCTCCAGAGCGTGTGTAAGTAGGCGATGCAGCGGGCTCACGAGCGATAAGCACAGAGAGCGTTGATCCAAAGCGTAATAGATAAAAGCACTAACAAATCGTTTGAGCAAGTTTGTTAAACGATCGGAATGTTTAATTATATTTAATCAATTGACTAGCAAGTAAAACAGATATAACAGGCAAAAACAGTGATCAGCAATGATAGGATCAATGATGTACACAATTATTAGCAATTAATATTGAGTTATTATCGCAAATATTCAGGAGCGAGGTGAAAGAACGACCGGCTTAAGCAGTTGACAATTGACATACATATACATATTTCCTGGTGACATGGGGACATAATGGGATAATTTTTCCGAAAAATTATCGCATATCGAACATCATGGAAAGGTGGGTAAAGAATAGTGCGGGTCGAATACCATCTCAAGGCCTCGTGCATACCATCTTTCGGAGCCATCGACAAAAGTTAGTTGTTTTTCCATTCCGGTTTGTTTGTATAGAAAGTATGCATTTTGTTGTTTTCGGAGTGAAGCTCATCGCGGCAAGATGTTAGTTCTCCGAGAGTGGAAGGACAAGGCGACCAGGATTATCGGATCGAAACCACAGGACAAGAACAACGACCAACGACCAGAATAACAGGGATCACCGATTACAAGGACCATCGATCAGGATAACAAGGCAGTTCTTTTGAAGGTCAACGACAAACTGGAGTAACAAGGCAGTTCTGGGGACCGTCACTCCACCTGAATAGACCTGTGCATATCAGTCGCTACCCCAAGTGGGATTAAACCCTTGTACCGCTTGTGTGTGTGCAGTGACCAAGGGTGGAGAACCCAGACCCTATCCATAGTAAGAAACACATTCGAATACCAAATGCGACCGTGACCAAAACAGGACAACAGTCCTACGGCGAAACGGATTTCGCGAGTATCACTCAGTTTTTGGAGTCCACTCCTTAGTAAGTTCCTCAAGTGGTAGTTCACTCGACATCCTATGGGTGTGCAGTCGATTTCGTATAGGCGCAAAGACGAGTTGCAGGCCATCGCCATAGATCTTGGACTCGTTGAAAATGGCACCGTGGAGGAGTTACGTAGCCGGATATCGTATTCATCTCACGACGTGAACACTCGGAGGCGGTCAAACAACGGATAGAGGAATTAGGAACTATGTACAGCAGTGCCCCTAGTCCCAGGACCCGGAGAACTCCTTTCTTGTCACCTGGACCGACCAGCCGGGAGCAGAAAGAGGGAGCCCACCTGCAGCAGCTCTTACAAATTGTAATATAAGTGATTTTGTTGTTTTAGTCGGAGCTGCCCGTGTGGCCAGGCAACTTCGAAATATTCTTTATTTGTATATTTAGCTTAGTAGCTAAGGCTAGGGCTGCCCGAAAGGCCAGGCAGCTTCTGTTCTAGTCCATGAAGGGCATGGCCTTTTTATACTAATTGGAATGGTCAGTGCTTCAGGTTTGACATGATAGCCCCTTTTTCATCGCATTTCCTGCAGTTACCACTGTTGGTGATGCCTAGTTTGACTGCATGTGCTACAGCCAGGCAGTGACCTGTTAGTATTCCCACTTACATTCTGCAGTCCTTCCGTGGTAGGTGCACATTAGGCCCGGCCAAAAAACTAATTTTTTGAAATTCAAACGGGACACCCCCTAGTTTTGTTACCTTGGATTTAATAGTAATTTACATGACTTCATTTTTTTTATTTATTTTTTTATTTGTGAACTAGTTAACTAAATATATCAACCTCCGCTGAACTCCTTGATTTTCACCAATCGTGAAGTTTTAAACAGTTACTAAACAAAAAAATAAAAATACCTTATTATCAATATGAACTAGTTTCTAAATTTCAGTATTATTTGAAAAATCCGACGAATTTAATTTTTTTTAATGTATATTTACCCGAAAATTTGTATTTTTGTTTCGTGGTTGCAATTCCTAAACATTAAACTAAAAATTTGAAAAAAAAAATTGTATAATTTTATTGAATAACAAAGAACAGAATTGGGGGGTGTCCACTTGAAAAAACAAAAAAAAACTTCCACCTGTTACTGGCCTAGATCGCTTTGAAGCGTTCTGAGGGAGACAGGCACGTTCTCAGTCCTGTCGTTCACCAGCCCGACGCCTTCGTTAGCCAGCACGTCTGCTGTCTCGGTGCCTTCGTTGCCCTGGTGGCTGGGAACCCAATAGATCCGCACTGACTTTGTCGTGCTTAGGTAGTGTAATGCTTCCCTGCTCGCCATTACATTTCTGGAACTGACTGCTGACGACTGCATGGATCTTATCGCCGCCTGGCTGTCCACGAACAGGTTGACCACATTATGTGGGCGTTCCGTACATCAAGCAACCACCGCCGCTTTCCGTATGGCGAAGACTTCCGCCTGGAATATGCTGCATTGGTTCGGTAGCTTATAGGTCAGCCTTATTTCAGGGTCTGTACAGTATATGCCCGCTCCTACTCCTCCTTCCGAGTATTGTTTCGAGTGCTTTTGTTGGGGTTGACCTCAGCGCCCCATTGATGCAGAGCAGTGCCTGCCGCTGAGTTCTCTCCATTAGCTTGTTGTAGGTCTTAGCAGAGTCGGTCGCACTACCGAAATGTAGATCCAGTGCATTAGTGCAGGTGATAGGCCCTATGTGCTGCTAAGCATCTTCTTGGATGCATATAGCGCAATGGTGGCCTTCTTCTCCCTTTCCAATACATTGGCTCTCCATGTCAGCTTGCTGTCCAGTACTATGCCGAGGTATTTGACTTGTGTTTTTGGGGTAAGCCTGGTTCTGTCGATTTTCGGGGGGATCCATGCTGGCACCTTGTACCTCTTGGTGAAGAGGATGAGGTCCGTCTTGTCCACGTTGATACTGAGTCCTGCTTTTTCCCGCCCAGTCACATATCTCCCTGAGTGTTGATTCTATTATAGAGCTGAGGCTCGATGGGCATACTGACGTAATAATTATGCTTATGTCTTATGTCCGCATAAGCTGTTCTTTTTGGGGCTCTCCTCTCTCAGGCTCTCTGAGGTGTGACTCTGTGTGCACTTTCACCATGGAAGTGGTGCCCCACTCTGAGTACATCGGTCTACAATTTAGAAAGTTCTTTATCCAGAGGTTGATTGCGGGATGTGTGTTGATCGCTTCTAGGCGGTCCATTATCGCGCTCGTATTCACGTTGTTGAATGCTCCGGATGTGTCTACGAACAGTCCTAGAGCATACTTTTTATTTTGGAGGGCATTTTAAATGGTGGCTACTAGCGAATGCAGTGCCGTCTCTACCGATTTCCCTTTGGTGTAGGCATGCTGGTTGGTTGACATCCGTCGAGTTACTTTAAGCAACTGTGGAATGTTTATTTTGTAGTATAAGCAGTCACTCATAAGAACTACCAAATAGATCAACAAAACATTTGTATAAACATGAACGGCAAGCATAGACCGATCGTGCCAAAGTTAGCGTCGTCGCTTCGTCGGCGCTGCGCTGCCGCTATGTGTGCACATGCATACGTACATACGTATGCATACGTATGCCCCTGCAGAAGCCCCAGTCAATCCGTTCGACTTCAGCGGCGAGACTGGCGAGGGGAGCAATATGGGGACGGAGGTAGCCGCAGACCTGCGGACTATCCTCATGACTCTGGTCGATAGGTCGACTGAGCTGTCCAAAATGTTGAAGGACGCCCGCTACCTAAACAAGGATATGAAAGACCTGACGCAGAAGGTGCTGAGACTGCAAAAGTCGGCCCTATTTAGTTTCGACGCTAATTCCCGGACGAACAAGAAGGAGGGGCAGAAGGAGCAGGAGACACAGTGGTCACCAAAACAGGACGAAGTCAAAATGCCAGCGAGGCCCACAGCCCACAGAGCTATCCAGCCAAAGGTCTGCTCGGCGGACGGAGACAGTCCCACCAACAAAGGAGTGGACGGAAGTCAAGGGCAGGACACGGGGTCGACAGCTGCGGCCGCGTGCAGATGCCATCATTATTGAGCCGAAGGACAGGATGTCGTACGCTGAGGTGTTAAACCTGGTAACACGCAGCCAGAACGAAAAGTTGAGGAGTGTTGGCGAGAGCGTGCGCAGAGTAAAGTGCACAGCCAAAGGGGCACTGTTGCTGGAGCTTAACGGCGCCGATCTGGAGACAACCCAGCAGATAAGGGATAGCATAAGCGATGCCTTGCAAGGGAAAGTGGAGGCGAGAGCACTCACCCAACAGACGAGGCTGGAAGTATTGGATCTGGATGAGATGGCCACGGTAGAAGATCTCCAACTCGCTTTAAAGAGCAAATCGGCGTCACGCTCGAAGAGGCAGACATAAAAAGCCTGCGCCCAGCGTTTGGTGGCACGCGGCGCGCCATCATCAGCCTCTCGGCGACCAGGGCTACAAAGGTCCTTTCTGTGGGGAAGATCAAAGTTGCCTGGTCCATTTGCCGCATTCGGGAGCGAAACCTTCCCACTAGATGCTTTAGGTGCTTGGAGCAAGGCCACATAGCAGCAAACTGCCGCAGCCCAGAGGACAGAAGCGGATGGTGTTTCCGATGTGGAGCTGACGACCACAAAATCCGAGACTGCCATAAGGAAGTGAAATGCTTTCACTGCGCCGGGAACGGAAAGCCGCACAACCACATGGCTGGAAGTCAGAGATGCCCAATGGCATCCAAAGCGAACGGGAGGGTGAAGAACAACGGCCATGATTAGATTCTACCAGATCAATCTGAACCACTGCGAGGCGGCCACAGACTTACTTTCGCAGTCAGTGCGAGACTTGAGGACGGATGTT